GAATTCTGGTTTAGGGGTTCTAAGGGGCCGAGTCGGTGTGGGGCTCGCACCTGTGGTGAAGCCAGCCATGGGTCAGTCCAACGCCTGCTTCATCGTCGAGGATGGTTCAGGGTTTAGGGTTTAGGGTATAGGGTTTAGGGTTTAGGGTTTAGGGATGACGGTGAGTTCAGGGCACTGGGTTGAGAGTTTATGGTTTAGGTTTCAGGGGCTTTAGGGTTTAGGGTTTAGGGTTTCGGGTTTCGGGTTTAGGTTTCAGGGGCTTTAGGGTTTAGGGTTCAGGGGCTTCGTGAAGTGTTGGGTTTTTTCACATTTCGTGAAGAGGTGCATTTTGATGGGTTCTGTTTAGTGCTTGAAACGGGGTGTGCAACCCAGAGACTCCAATACCCCTTAATTAAGGAATATACCTTAAATTATAGTAGGACCCCGAATAAGATTTAAGGTATATTCCTTAATTAAGGGATATTGGAGTCTCTGGGAACGTGGCTTCCGGTAGAGTATCGCAACAAGTTTTCTTTCAAACAGAAGCTTGCCTGCCAATATACCGGGACCCCACGCAGTAACCCCTAAACCCTAGACTCCCTAGACTCCCTAGACTCCCTAGACTCCCTAGACTCCCTAGACTCCCTAGACCCTAAACCCTCAACCCTAAACCCTAAACCCTAGACCCTAAACTCTGGGGGTGGAAGGTCCAGAGTCCTTACCTACAAACTAGCCCCCTCACCGCAACACGGTTTAGGGTCTAGGGTTTAGGGTTTAGGGTCTAGGGTTTAGGGTTTAGGGTTTAGGGTCTAGGGTTTAGGGTCTAGGGTTTAGGGTTTAGGGTTTAGGGTTTAGGGCCCTCAACTCAAGAACCCTAAGCTCTCTACCCCTATGGGTTTAGGGTTTAGGGTTTGGGGTTTTAGGGTTTAGGGTTTCTGGACCCCAAATAACCTGCCATTTCAGGGTTCCTTCCTATGACTTTCTCGCATAAGTCCGTTAAAAACTGGTAGGTTCTTAGGGGTTAAGGCATGTCCTAGACCCGGCTCTGTGAGCCAAAAACAATCTTCCAAACTCTAAACGAGACCTCTCCCCAGAGAACCCAACACCCCTTAATTAAGGAATAGACCTTAAATTACAGGGGCCTCAATAGTATGGTTTAAGGTATATTCCTTATTGGGCTCTCTGGGTCTGTTGAACCCTAAACCCTAAACCCTAAACTTCGATGATCAACAAACTCAATGAGCAGGATGCAGCTGCGGGCTCCTGGGAAGTATTTTTGGTGTTTTCAGTTTCAGTACAGTGGAAAGCCGAAAAGTTATAGGGATTAGGGTATAGGGTTCAGGATTTAGGGTTTAGGGCATAGGGTATAGGGTTCAGGATTTAGGGTTTAGGGTATAGGGTATAGGGTTCAGGATTTAGGATTTAGGGTTTAGGGTTTAGGGTTTCAGTATCTGCTGAAACAGTACAGTAGGAGCCGGAAAGCTGGAAGCCCAATAGCCTCAATCCTTAAGAGCAATGTATACTTGGAGGTTCATGGGTAGTTATAAGTAGGGTTATAAGTCCCCTAATATGGGTTATAATTATAGTTAGCTTACTTATAACTCCACTTATAACTACCCATGAACCTCCAAGTAGGGAATCCCAGCACCAATTGACCTTGCTCCGGTTTCCAACTTTTTGGGGTTTACTATATGGGTAGCTTTCTAAATGAGGGTCCCTTTTGGGGTCCTTTTTATAAGGGTGCCGTACTATATTGGGGATCCAAAAAGGGACCCTAATTTAGAGAACTACCCATATATGAAAACCCCAAAGGGGTATTACAAGCATTCTGGTCATCATGGTGCTAAGGGCGCTGAGGTAGGTACTCTCACAGACACTACAACCGCAATTCGACCCGCTATCTAGGGTTTAGGGGTTCGGGATGTGTAGGGTTGGGGGCTTAGGGTGTAGGGTTTAGGGGTTAGGGATGTGTAGGGTTTGGGGTTTAGGGTTTAGGGTTTTTGGGTTAGGGTCCCTAACCCATATAAACCCTAAACCCTAAACCCTAAACCCCCTAAACCTGAAACCCTAAACCCTAAACCCGGGATGATCCGCTCCGGAGGATGAAGCAACCACCAGTGTGAACATGCGGCTCGGCTACTTCCGAAGTGCTGGCTAGCGTGTGTTATTTAGGGTTTAGGGTTTAGTTTTTATTTAGGCTCTGCACCTAGGCTAAACCCTAAACCCTAGACCCGATCAGGGTCTGGAGTGTAGGATTTAGGGTTGAGGACTATAGGAGTTCATGCTGCAGTCCCAGACCACCGGGAGGATCTAAAAAGAAGATCCCATAATTGGGACCCCAACTACCAAAGGGTACTTTATAGGAACCCCTTAGGGGATCTATTTTTTAGATCCTCCCTGTGGTCTGGGTAGAGAACCCAATACCTCGGAAACCCTAAACCCTAAACCCTAAAATCCATAAACCCTAAACCCTAAACCCTGCTGCAGTGGTTTGAGTTTGATTCCGTTGGAGGTTTTTCCCGTGCAGGAGTTTGGTGGCTTAGGGTTTCCGGGTAGGGGGCTCCGGGTCTTTTAGGGTTTGGGGTTTAGGGTATAGGGTTTAGGGTTTAGGGTTTAGGGTTTAGGGTTTAGGGGTTTAGGATATAGGGCATTGAGTTTGCGGGTCCTGAAGGGCCCCGAAAATCCCTTTGAAGGCTTGAAGAATGAGCCGAAAAGGCCTGTGTTTCTACACCTCCAAAGTTTATTCGGTTTTCTATCCTAAACCCTAAACCGGTTTAGTTTTTAGGGTTTAATTTCATGTAGTATTGACCCCTTTCTAAGTACCCTCACAAAGGGGTTGATGGTCCCAAATAATGAGTATGGAGGGTCTGGGTACTTACAAGTAGTTATGACCGCTACCCTACGTCTCAAAATAGCCCAAAAGCCTTACGTGGTATGGTCTTTGGGCCCGCAAACCTTACTTAATTGCGGTAATTCAAGCCGAGGGGTTGTTATTTGCTAGGGGCCCGAAGCCGCAACATCCACAAGCGCTAAGACCCGATAGTACCCCGATAGACCCCTGATAACCCTGAGGCTCCAAATAGCCCAAAGTAGGTACTATGTGTAGACTTTAGGCCCCAAAGTAGGTATTATTTGTATACTTGGAGTCTTAGGGTAAAGCTTTGTTTCAACTAGCCGCCATGTCTGAGGAGCAATTGCATGCACATTGCGGAAGACTCCGTCCAAGCGCAGCATGTGCGCAGCCTAGGGGGAGGGCACAAGGGTAATTGAGGTCGGACACCTAAACCCTAAACCCTAAACCACCTAAACCCAAAACCCCCGAAGAATCATGGCCATGCTCACAGTCTCCCGTGTTGGGCCTAAGGGGATCTTACTTACGAATAACAGCTCCACATTCCCAGAGAACCCAATACACCTTAATTAACGGATCTACCTTAGATTATAGGGGCCTGCATATTATGATGTAACGTATATTCTTTAGTTGAGGAGTATTGCGTTCTCTGGCTTGGGGTCCCTTTTCAGGCACCCCAAATAGTACGGCACCCTCACAGAAAGGCCCCTGGTCAAAATCCTGCATTACCTGAAGTACCCTAAACTATTGGAATTATGGTATTTCCTTATTATGGGTCGTGCAGATTTTGTCCATCAGCACTATTACTATTAATATTACTATTACTATTCCTACTACCACGACGACGACGACTACTACTACTACTACTGCTACTACCACTACTCCTACTCCACTCCTACTCCTACTCCTACTCCTGCTCCTGCTCCTGCTCCTACTCCTACTCCTACTCCTACTCCTACTCCTCCTCCGCTACTCCTACTCCTCCTCCGCTACTCCTACTCCTCCTCC